TACGCTCTTCTTTCGCCGCTTTAGACGCGCTCACGAAGTTTCAGCGTGATTCGTGACCTATGAGGGAAGTTTGACTTGGTTGAATCAAGCTCCTTGCTGCCCCGGCCGGTGCAGCACCACCGTGCACAAATTTCCGTTATACGCCGATTTCACTTAGGATGTTCTGAAACAAAGAGCTTGCACAGGTAGACAAATGGCTAGGGTGAAAATCCTCTAGAGGAAAGGTGAAACCGGAATCCTCAGAGGATTGCCCAAAAAAGCGAAAGCTCTGATTTAGTAAAAAGGTTTATCCCCCAGAGGAAACCCTCACCCAAAGCCCTGGAGGATCACTGCCCGAAATCCTCCAGGGGATTTCGGACGGTGATCCTCCAGAGCGTTGGGTGGGGGGTTTTCCTCTGAGGGGATAACCTTTTTACCAAATCAGAGCTTTTTTTTTTGGGCAATCCTCTAGAGGATGTGGTTTGAGCTACCCTCTGAGAGGATTTGGTTTCACCTATCCTCTGAGAGGATTTGGTTTCACTTATCCTCTGAGAGGATTTGGTTTCACCTATTCTCTGGGGGATTAGGTACTGTTTCCCTCGCCGTGGATAATTGCAAACAAACCTCTAGAGGGGTGGTAAAACGGTAACCTCTGGGAGGGAGGGGAGGTGAAAATCCTCTGGGGGGTTGGGTAATGTTTTCCCCGCCGTGGATTATTACAAAGAACAACCTCGAGAGGGACGGCCAGAGAACTTCCCCGTGAGTAAGTGGGGAACAATTAGTGTCCAGGAGGATGTGGCGATGCGTCTCTTCCAGGAGAGAGGCTGCTGGGAACAACGCACGTGATGTTGTTCACGTTCACGTGTTGTCCCTCTCCAAAAATGCCCTCGTTACTTAGAAGCAACACCCACAAGGTAGGTGAGCACAGAAAGCAATAACACATGGCGTAAGGAAGTGCCACAGCCGTTGATATTGAAGCAGGTCTAGTACTTTCTTTTCTCTTTCCCAAATCACGAAACACCTAACGACTCTCCACGGAATCCCTGCAACGAAAAACAAGACGAAATTCATGACAACGACCAAGGAAAAGGGCTACCTATATACATACGTAGGAGCTTAATAGAACTGCTATCAACAAAAACGAAAATACCCAATTTTAAACGGTAGTATTGTATACGACACCGGTGTCGTACTTCTTATATACGACACCTACCATTTCTTGGCCCACAGGGCTCCAATCGGCGTACAACAAAATGCGCTGTGTAGCCACGGCCCGCAGCTATCAGCCCATACCATTTTGGGTCAAATCGGCCAAGTGGTTGCGGAGAAAGAACCGAAAAATAGGGGGCTCCGCAACTTACCGGGGGGGTGTCAGCGACGTTCCGGTCATAACTCCTTGCACAGACATCGCCTGATCGCACGTAAACTCGCGATGAGTAGGTACAGGCCATAGCTATCGTTCAAGCCGCTGTGGGGCGAAATCCACCCAGTTAGTGCCATGGTACGCCTACACCCGGCTGGACGGTGTCCCCTAGGGCGGTGTCGTAGATAAACTTATATTCGACACCGCCCGTTTCTCGCCACACACGGCGCGGATGGACATCAGACCATGTGCACTACATTGGTACAGCCCATAGCTATCGTTCAAGCCGCTGTGGGGCGAAATCCACCCAGTCAGTGCCATGGTACGCCTACACCCGGCGGGACGGTGTCCCCGAGGGCGGTGTCGTAGATAAGCTTATAACACACACGGCGCGGATGGAATTGCTCGCAGGGCTAGGGGGAGGGGACAACGTTAATTTCGCATACGTGAATTGTGGGCAGTATCTTAGATCTTTGTTTCCGCGCTTTGTTTCACACCCAGACGACTGTTTGACACCCAGACGACACGAAGCCTGATGCTACGTAGCGCTACCCCCGTGACACGAGGACTGAAGGGAGAGGTAGGCTGGCGTTGTTGAAGGACAACCTGCGCATAAGCCGCATAAGTAGGTCGCCTATCGTCGTCTGTGCACCCGCAAACACGGAGGCGCCGACAATCAACGGAGGAAGAAAATCACCGTTCCATACCTCGCAACACAGGAGGTATCATTGAATACAACGACATCGAGACTCGCTCAAGCTGGACCTTCATTCACTCGGGGCCGCTCAAGTTTACGGCGCTACGTGTTAAGCACTACGAGTCGTCCTCCTTCTTAATCCTACGGCTAGGACCCCCAGACCCAGGCCCAGCTGAGTCTCTCATCCTTTTGGCCCTGCGGCTCTTGTCCATCCGCCCTTGCGGGTTACCGACCGGCTTAGCAGAGCCGGTCTGCCCTGGCGGCGCACCATTGCCATCACCGCGCTTCTCCTGTTGTTCTCCCGACTTTGATTTCTTAGGCCTTCCAGCCTTCTTGACCTGCGCGGGATTCTTGGCGCTGTTCTGTCCGGTAGCCTCCGCGAGCTGGAACCTCACCCACTTGTCGAGGTCAGCCTGGATCTCCATGGCCTTCGCGTGTGGAACCGTCCTTAGGATTTCGGAGACGTTTTCCTTGCTCTTGGCCATCATGCTCGCGAACACCCGGCGCTCATCAGTCGCTGATCGAGCGGCAGCTGCTTTTGCCGCACGTTCCGAAGGATGCACGCCGTCCCCCGCGTCGTCGTCGTCGAACGTTGGCCCCCAGAAGTTGTCGTCTGCGCCCTCTTCACACCCGTCCCAGCCGTCGCCGTGCCCTGTCTCTTTCAACACTCTGGAGACGGTCCATGGCTCGTCGTTGCCGTCAAGCGATTGCCGCCAGCGTGCGTGGAGACTGTTGCCGTCGAAGCGGTGGTCGAGCAGGATTCCCTTGAACCTGCAGCCGAGGAAGCGAACTAGCACGGCGAAGTAGTGTCTGCAGACGAGGCCGTGTCGCAACAGCTTGAGGCAAGAGCACAAGTGGAAGCCATTGGGTCCGAAAACCACAACATGACCCGGCCTTGCAGGCGTGAGTTTGTATCGCACAGCCGCCGCAACGTGGACGGGGAGTTCGCCGATGAGGTCGAGGAGGGCCTCCAACGACGTGCGCGCCCATACGCTGCTGTCTTCAGTCGATTCCGCCTCAGGGCCACGCATGCAGTCCTTCTCCAGGTCAGTGTCAGGCTTCGCTTCCTCGAAAAGGCTAAGGTCGAAGCGAACGGCCTCAAGCTTTCGACGAAGGACACCCTCTCCCAGAGGATCGGGGCGGCCGTCGTCATCCGTGGCGCCTGCGCAGATGACCTCGACGTCGTATGACTGCGATCCGCCAACCTCGGCCCTAGCCTCCTGCGGAATGGAGCGGATCAGGATGAGGTGTTGAGGGGGGCACATATTTAGTCCGGTATTTAGTCATATTTAGTCTTAAAGATCGCGTGAGGTACGCGCACAAGGAACTGCCTCGAAAAACGGCCTCGAAAAGGCAATATTTTGACGCTGGGCCTTTTCTGCTTGGAAATTGGAAAAGGTAGCATTTTGACGCTGGGCCTTTACTGCTTGGAGAAGATAGTATTTTGACGCTGGGCCTCTCATCGTCGCATGAAGATGAGACCACCTAGATATTTATTACNCGGAATGGAGCGGATCAGGATGAGGTGTTGAGGGGGGCACATATTTAGTATTTAGTCGTATTTAGTCTTAAAGATCGCGTGAGGTACGCGCACATGGAACTGCCTCGAAAAACGGCCTCGAAAAGGCAATATTTTGACGCTGGGCCTTTTCTGCTTGGAAATTGGAAAAGGTAGCATTTTGACGCTGGGCCTTTACTGCTTGGAGAAGGTAGTATTTTGACGCTGGGCCTCTCATCGTCGCATGAAGATGAGACCACCTAGATATTTATCCCCGAGATGGCAGGGGGGCGGTGCATGAACGCAATGAAGCCATCGAGGTTCTCACCACTTGGCAGTACTGGCTTGCGCCAACCCGTTTGAGCTCTTCCTGGATCGGGGCGAAGATCCCCTGCAGATGCTTCGTCTGGAATGGCAACTCCGCTCCCACGCCTCTCGTTGCGACCCTGAGCGCACGAGGTCGGACGGAGTGTTTATAAGGGAGTTATAACCGTTTGACATTACGCTACGGGGCAACAACAGAAACGATGCTCATGGGTGGCGGCCAACGTTGTCGTCAGTGGATAGGGTGGACACAAGCCCATTTTTGAGACTTTACCCAATGCCTCTGAGATGACTGAGGTTCAGAATAGTCGCAGAGTTTTCGTTGATGGCACAACATCCGGGGCAGAATACGCGCGGCTAGTTCACCGTCTATGTTCAGGTACCAAACGCGATGGCGCCGCTCCAAGGCTATAACTTAGTGGAACTCACCTGCTGTACTCGACGTCCATCTTCTGGTACATAAGTTGGAGCTTCTCCCACAGACCGCACAAGGACAGCTTCTTGTGAACTCCGGATCTCTTCGCCACCCCGAACATACCCTCGGTGCGCTGGGTGGCAACCATACCCATGGTGAGCAGTGTCGGCCGGCAGGAGAAAGCCCACTTCGTTTTGTCCCTTGCCAACAAGAGCGCGGGATGGATGTTTCAAGAATGGCTTGGCGTGCTTAACGGCTGCGGCTGCTTATGTTACAACACTCAGAGCAGGGACAGCAAGTTACACGCCTAGTACGCAACATGACTCTCGCTGTAATATTTTGTTCCCGTTTCATGGCTACTCACTGGATAAGGGCGTCCATGTACTCCTCGCACTTCTTGCCCTTCACGATCTTCTCGAGGTCCACCCGGTACCTTGCAAAGGCCTGCGGCATGGCATCGTCGTGCCGGAGGTTATATGACGAGCTCGTAGTCGGTGGTCGGGGCGGGCCGGCGATCTAGGTGTTTTGAGACGCAACGCAACACACACCCATTGTTGATTGTAGCCGCTAGCAACTTCCCCGTCTCACCTCCGGCGTGGCTGCGTACGCAGCACTGCGAAAAAGACGAAGCATTTTCGCCCGTTCTTCTTTGTCGGGGAAGGACGAGGAGCAGTTCTTGAGCACGTTCTTGAAAACGTGCCACAAACAGAAAAGGTGCAAGGTGGTGGTCCATTCCTCCAAAGCCGAAGTCATGGCCCGGTCTGCGTCAGTCAGCATGACCTACGCCAAACAGACGAAGACATACACGTACCGAAACCAACATCGGCATAGGTGTATGAGTAAGGCGACCGGAAAGTTGTATGAAGATGTCTAATCATTGAGGAGGCATCAAGTAGCGGTGAGCGGCGAGTGGAAGGTGTCAGGGACTTGACGCGCGGGCAGCTATGAAGCGAGGGGAGAACCGGGCAATGATACGATGCCCCCCTCACGAACAAAAACGCGTTTGCAGGCGGTGCGCAGCGCACCTTGGGCCTTCGTCCGCCGGCGGCCGTCTCGTACGCTTCCAAGAACCATTGAAACGTCTCCTTGCATTCCGACCGCAGCACGCCCTGGCCCAAGACACAGCTCCGGTTTTCGTCATCCACGCCCACCATGAAGAGCAGGGGGCACCCGTACCTGCGGAGACCGCTCACCAACACGCAGGACGACGCATAGTGTAATGGTATTGGAGGTAGCCGGTTTGTAGGGCATGAAACGGCAGTTGAGTATCCCTAGGCACGTATCTATCCCATCTGCGGATTCCCCGCAGAGGCTTGATTGAACCCACTCCGGTGCTGGGACAGCATCTGAGGGAGGATATTAAGAGATCATTCAGACGAAGAAGACAAATAGAAGACCCCAAGTTCCCGCTCACAGTGTTAGGCACCTGCCGCACTGCACACCTAAAGTTGAAGACCCGAAATACTACAACAATGGTCAGTAAAAAATGAAAATGGAGGAGGGGGGAAGGGGATACCGAAGCAAAGAAGCTGGCTAGGACGGGACGGAGCGTTCTGGAACGGTGACATTATCCCAGACGTACCTATTCGTAAACACGG